GGTCAGGACTCTGGGTCTGAGGGAGGAGGGCTGGGGGTCAGGACTCTGGGTCCGAGGGAGGAGGGCTGGGGGTCAGGATTCTAGGGTCTGAGAAGGGCTGGGGGTCAGGACTCTGGGTCTGAGGGAGGAGGGCTGGGGGTCAGGACTCTGGGTCTGAGGGAGGAGGGCTGGGGGTCAGGATTCAGGTCTGAGAGAGGAGGGTCTAGGAGTCAGGACTCAGGTCTGAAGGAGGAGGGGGTCAGAACTGTCCAATCTGAGAGAGGAAGGGCTGGGCGTCAGGACTCAAGTCTGAGCGAGTAGGGGTTGGAGATCAGGACTGAGGTCTGAGGGAGGAGGGGCTGGGGGTCAGGATTCAGATCTGAGTGTGGAGAGGCTAGGCGTTTGGACTCAGCTTTGAGGAGGGAGAGGCTAAGGTCTGGACTTAGGCCTGAGGGAGGGCTCTAGCTGACCTCGGTCCCCCATCTCTGTTGCAGACTGGCGTGCGGCGCCTCCACCCAGCCCCTCCCTGCACTACTCCACGCTGTCCTGTTCTCGATCTTTCCACAACCTCTCGCACCTGCCTCCATCCTATGAGGCTGCCATGAAATCGGAACTCAACCGCTACTCCTCCCTCAAGAGACTGGGTGAGTCCCGTGGACAAGGGCGCATGGTCTGGGCTTCTGCTGGATACTCCGCCTTCTAATGGTTTACTTCCCATTTCCAAGCTGTTCCTTAAATTTGTTCTAGAATTATGGGAGGGGGCAGGTATTTGTTTAAAAAAGCAAAATCTTACTGCCCCCAACCTGGACCAAATCTAATGTCTTCTATAAATACCCATTACAGAATAGATGGGGATAGAATTCAACTACCCCACAGGGTTCCCAAGGCTGAAATCTTTTTGGATGCAGACTGCCACACTTTCTCCTCAAGAGTGGGCTGGTGGATTAGAAGCACTGACCTGGTCAGCAGCTTAACCTTGAACCACCAGGGCTCCCTGGCTGTCCCCAGGCCTTACTGCTTTCATCACAGTTTGTGTGCCAGCAGACCTTGAAGACACAGAGGGTTCGAGACCATTGCAATAAAGCAAATGCAGCAGTAAAGTGAGTCACAGGAATGCTCTGGCTTCCCGGTGCACAGAAGTTAGGCAGACACACTGTAGTGCAGTCTTCAGAGTGTGCAACGGCGAAGAAACAGTTCGCCACACCCGCAGGCGACACAGACAGGAAGTGAGCACATGCTAATAGAGAAATAGCCCCAAACTTCCTTAGAAAGTTGGGAAGAAAGGAGCTCTGATGGCCTAGTGGCAAGAAGCTGCACTGTAATCCCAGAGGTGCACGGTTCAAATCCACCAGATGCTCTGCTGGAGAAGGAGGGGCAATCTCCTCCTGTACCAGTCAGATCCAATTTGATGGTACATACACAAAATATAATAAAATAAATTTTTTAAAAGAAAGTTGGGAATAGTGATGCTATTTGATCCAAAATTCCCACTGTTGTTATCTACCTTTATGTCGGCTCAGACTCATAGTGGACCCTTTCAGTGGGTTTTCAGAGGCAGTAAACTGCATGGGGGGAGACTGTCCAGTTTTCTCCCCCAGAGCAGCTGGTGGATTTGAACCTCGTGCCTCTGGGTGGACAGCACAACTTCTTACCCACTAAGCCACCAGTACTCCCTTTGCAAGCCCACTTCCTTACAAGGTGTGTATCCCAGAAAAAGATGATAAACAGATATATGCAAATACAGAGTCACATTTTGCAGCACTATTTACAAAAGCAAAGAGATGGAAACAACCCAAGTGTCCACCAAGGGACGAATGGGAAAGGACCTCTGGTCCATTCATACAATGAAGTACTTTGCAACACGAAAGAACAAAAAAGCTACGCAAATACTGCATAACGTGGATGCACCTGCAGGTCTATGCTGAGTAAAAGAAATTAGTCACAAAAAGAGTATTATGTATAAGATCACCATCATAAAAATAAAAGGAGGGAGGAGCAGCTCTGGTGGTCTGGGAGTAAGGAATCTTGCTGCCAACCCAAAGACAGGCAGTTCAAATCCACCACCTGCACTGAGAGAGAAAGATGGGCCATCTCCTCACATGCGACTGATGTTCTCTGAAAACTCTCTGCCGGGTCAACTCTGAGTCGGCTCTGATTCCACGGCAATGAGTCTGAGTTTGACAAAAAGGCATCCCTGATGGCACGGTCAGCAGGAAGGTGTGCTGGCAACCCAAAGACACCACTTCTCTGGTGGTTCGAGCCCAGCAGAGACTACTTGGGAGAAAGATGGGTTCTTCCCTCCCGTGCGATTTACTGTCTCCGGAAAACCTGCTGGAGGGGGAGCTGGGAGTCGATTCAGACTCAGCAGCAATGAGTCTTTCGACTTATAAAAAGCTAAGGAAAAGGGAGCTCTGCTGGCCTAGTGGCAAGAAGCTGCACTGTAATCCCAGAGGTGAGTGGTTCAAATCCACCAGATGCTCGCTGGAGAAGGAGGGACACTCTCCTCCTGTACCAGTCAGATCCGACTTGATGATACACAGGAAAGGCCTACAATGGTAGAATAATTTTTGTATGGTTACCAGGGATAGGGAGGGATTAAAAAATAAATACATGAGTTGGATGAAGAGAAAAGCAATATATATATAAAGGTGTTGATCAAACATTACAATAGATTAGTTGCATTAACCAATTGCAATTAATGTTATAAAACATTGTATAAATGATTAGATGAGAAGTCAATATAATTTACAGACTTTCACTGAAATTTGAAAAAAAAATAGCACCAAGAAACGTGCTGACCTAACTCAACTCGCTGTTGTTGTTAGGGGCCATCAAATAGGAGCCAACTTATAGCAGACCCTCCAGTAGGTTTTCAGGGGCTGTGACAAACGCACAGAAGGAGATTACCCATCCTTTCCCCGCAAGCAGCTGGTGGACTTAAAACCACGTGCTTCTGGGTTGGCGGCACCACTCCTTGACCCATTAGACTTCCAGAGTTCCCTACTCAACTCGTGGCACCCTGCTAAAATATTTCGTTTGTAAAAATGTCAGTTATCTGCAAAGCGCAAAGAAAATTTGAGGAGTGCCTGGATGAACAATGAATACAAACAAGAGTGGCATCCGCTTCCTAAACAACATGCCTCCGGAAACTCTATGAACTTTGATACATATTGATAGTTGTAGAGGGGCTTCAGGAATTTTGTTCATAGGGTTGCTATGAGTCGTGCTCGACTCGCGGGCAATCATCAACAACGACAACGACAAACATAATTTAAAGCAAAAAAAAAAAGAAAAAAGGAAATTGCTTTGGCTTCATCAGATTCAGCCAGCAGGTGGCTAGTAGCTTCAGGTCTGGCTGGATCCAGGTGCTTGGAACCTTCTGGCGGGAACGCTGTCTTGCAGGCTGCGCTTGGGAATCTGTTTTGGCCACCAGAGCTGGGGTCTCTTCCGACTGCCGTGCGGGAACTGCCATTTGGGTGGATGGCCCATTCTTTGGGGCGGTGCTTGGGGTCCTCACAGACGGGGTCCAGGGATAGCAAAGGCACCTCCAAAGGGCGCAGGAGGGCTCACTTGGCCTGGAGACCCCTCCATGAGACTCTCTCCCTCGCCGCAGCCGAGAAGGACCTGGACGAGGCCTACCTGAAGCGCTCGCACCTGACCGAGATGCCCCGTGGTACGCTGCCCCTGCACGCGCTGCGGCGCCCGGGCACCGGCGGCTACCGCGTGGACGCCTGGGGCCCCGAGGAGCTGAGCCTGGCGCCCGCGCCCCACCCGCGGCGCGTCATGTCGCAGGAGCACCTCCTGGGCGACGCAGGCCGCGCGCGCTACGAGTTCACGCTGCCCCGCGCGCGCCTGGTGTCCCAGGAGCACCTGCTGCTGTCCTCGCCCGAGGCCCTGCGCCAGAGCCGCGAGCACCTGCTCTCGCCACCGCGCAGCCCTGCGCTCCCCGAGCCCGGCGCGCGCGGCCTGGCCGCCTCGCACTCCAATCTGC